GCTCTACCACTTGAGCCACAGCACCACTTCTGGCTTTTTTTTTCTGCTTATGTGGTGCTGAGGAATCGAACCCAGGGCCTCAAGCATGCAAAGCAAGCGCTCTACCACTGAGCCACCTTCCTAGCCCAAGAGCATCAGTTTTTAAATACATTCCCTGTATCTCCACCAACCAGATAGAAAAATGGAAATGTAGAGGGCATATGCACTTATGCAACATACATATTTAAAGAATACATATGTTGTGCATTGGAGGCTTGTTTAACACCTATAACCAAGCTACTAAAGAGGCTGAGATCTTAAGATAGCAGTTTGAAATCAGCCCATGCAGGAAAGGCCATACTATTCTTACCTAGAATTAACCACCAAAAAAACAGAAAAAGTGGAGCTGTGGCTCTAGTGGTAGAGAGCTAGCCTTGAGTCAAAAAACAAACAAACAAACCAACAAGCAAAAAACCTCAGAGACAGACCCCATGAGATGAGTTCAAGCCCCATGACTGGCACAAAATACACATATCCTATTCGGAGAGAGAGCACAAAATGTATAGCGTACATATAAATATATATACCATATTCAGGAAAGACAAAAAGTTTCCTAAATTTCAGAACAGTAAAAGAACAAGATGAAATAGTACTAACAGTAATTGTGCCTACTGTTATGAAAATTATGACTACATACTGTTTCAATTCTTCAATTGTAAAATTAGTAAGATCTGGAACATCTTGATCTTCATTTTGATCTTCCTCCTCTTCAGCAGGAGGCTGAGCAGCAACTTCATTTACCTCTGCAATTAAAAACGAAGAGACAAAATTTTCCGATATTATCTTCCAAGTATTACACTACTATTCAGCGCTTCTGATCTGAAATTTACTGATTACAGAACTCTTTAAACAGTACCTTAACATTATTTTCTCAATATACAAATTATTTTCATAAAAGGACCACATAGAATAATCACTACATAATTACTAAACAACATTTGCAGCAATGCTAATTAACTGATACAAATGTCCATGGAACTCAAAATAATTTCACTATAAACCATGTGTTTTATTTTTCAAAAAACAGTTGATATTGTCCAAATGTACACATTACCTGAAATGGTAACCCCTCTGTACAACACCTTAATAATAACAATAAAATTCTATTTTATAATAAAAGAGAAAATTTAGGCCAGGCACTGGTGACCTACTTGTGAGACTAAGGATCTAGGTTCAAAGCTAGTCCAAACAGAAATGACCACAACATTATTTCTAATTACCAACAAAAAAGCTGGATGAGAGGCCTGGCTCCAAATGGTAAAGTGCCTGTTGTGAGCAAGCAAATGTGCAAGGCTATGAGTTCAAGCCCAATATAGGCACAAAAAAAAGAAAATAAGAAAATTATACCTAAAAATTTAGTTACAATAAGAACTTGTATCCTAACTTATATAATGCATCTCTAACTTTATAAAACTTGATATACATGAAGGATAAAGCCATACTTACGTGTTGTAGCTGAATCAGGCTGGGACAATTTGAGAATTCCTGTTTTTAGCAGTTTTGAAAACAATTCATTTACATCCACCTGACTGAGATGATTATCAGGATATGCTTTAGGAAGAGCTCCTTAAAAAAAAGAATAACATTGTTGAAAGAACTTAGGTTATACAAAGCATTTTCAAAATTCAACAATAAATTTGATAAAATCTTATTAATGATGTGTTTATTTCAAAGGCTTAGTTTTCATTTACACTGACAGATCACCATTTGAAAAAACACAGGAAGAAATACTTTAGCTGTTTATTATCTAAACAGAAAAAGTGCCAGCATTGTCCCCTTTTGTCGAATAATCCCATGACACACAAAAGGAGAATACAGAGGACAAAAAGCCTCATCCTCCCTTTTATGTAATGTAGCACACCACACTTAGGTGGAACTTTCCACCTTTGTAATTCTTTAGTCTTCATATTCTAACTAACTTGGAAAAAGCAGTTTTGTCCGGATAAAGCAGTATAATTTCTTAGCACAGATTTGTAGGAGGAAAAGAAGCTAGAAAAGACCAAACCCAAGTAGAAATATTGACCCACAGCTCCTGACATGAAATCTAATGGAACTGATGGCAAGAGCCATGCCATTTAATAGTACACCTACACTTACAACCTGTGTTATGTACAAGTGCCCTTGCAAAGCAGCTCAAACTATTGCTAATGTGTCAGATTGACTGAAGATTCAATTATCTGAATAAAAGTGACAACAATCTCTTCTGTTAACTCAATCTAATACTGTATTTTGCGAAGGAGTATTCTTTCTAATAATTGTGTCAATTGCAAAAGCAAGCTGGATTGGCAACTCAGTGGTTAAAAGAGCTTGCCAAGTATGCGCAAGGCCCTGGATTAAGATCCTACTGCCACAAAATAAATAAAAATATTTTTAATCACTATTATACAGGTACTATACCTTAGAGGAAAAGTTATGAACCACTAAATATTCCTTTTAGGATAGAAATTTAATTTGTATCCCCAATATGCATAATCCCTACCCTCAAGCATTTTTATACAGTCTTTATGCTTATCACAGATCTTATACAGTGTAGGCTAATATCTGAATTCATGAAAGAATAAATCAACCTCAATAATTAATTACAATAGTACTTTACCCATTAGCCTAATATTTACACTCCATTAGAACTCAGGTACATGAACTACCATGCCAGCTATCTCTTTGTAACTGAACCTTGTTCAAGTTGCCAAGCTGTGCCTCAATATCCCCCTGCCTGTAAAGATCTTAGTTCTACCTAAATGAGTTAATATTTTTCAGGCACTGAGGTATCTGGCACTATGTACGGTATTTAAAGCAAAATATAAATCAAATAGTAAACACTAAAAAGCTCATTGAAGGATCAACCTTATTAAATTCTTCCTAGTACAAGGCTCAAATGAACATTTTTTTTTTTTGTCGGTCATGGGGCTTGGGCACTGTCCCTGTGCTCTTCAGCTCAAGGTGAGCGTTCTACCGCTTTAGCCAAAGCGCCACTTCCGGTTTTCTAGTGGTTTATTGGAGATAAGAGTCTCATGGACTTTCCTGCCCGGGTTGGCTTTGAACCACGATCCTCAGATCTCAGCCTCCTGAGTAGCTAGGATTACAGGCGTGAGCCACAGGTGCCTAGCTAACAATTTATTTTTGAATGACTAAATGAGCAAAAGTATAACCACAGGATAATGGTATTTTCACTTTCAAAGTAGAGAAGGAAACCTAAGAGAAGCTGAAGGCAGCCCAATGAATATTGTTCATACCTCTTGTATGAGTAAGTAGAACTTGAAGACAAACCTAACATCTCATCCAATACTCCCAACCCAAGGGAATAAAATGATTTCCTGTGATATGTATAACCCAACATTGTGAAAGCCAGAAGAAAATCTAGGGACACTCCTGCCACCAACCCCAATACAACCAACAGTACTTTACAAGAAAAACTGGTTTCTAAAGGAAAATATGTTAACATAGCACTCAGAAGTTACAAAGTACTTCTATGCACTATCTCATTTGATTCAGGCAAATACTGACACTACAACCTCCTCATTCCATAGAAAGAAACTGAACAGCAAGGAAAATACACCTTACCCAAGTATAAAATGGTAGAAGTTCTAATTCTGACCTCTCCTAACTTCAGATCTCAAATCCTTTCTGTAGGGCTGAGAAGGTGGCTCAGTGGTAGAGCATTTGCCTTGCATGCCTGAGGCCCTGAGTTCGATTCCACAGTACCACATAAACCTGGGCGCTGTCCCTCAGTTCTTCAGCTCAAGGTTAGCGCTCTACCACGTGAGCCACAGCACCACTTTTGGCTTTTTTCTTTTTGCTTATGTGGTGCTGAGGAATCCAACCCAGGGCCTCAAGCATACAAGGCCAAGCACTCTACCACTGAGCCACCTTCCCAGCCCCTCTGTACCTTTTATTTGCAGTAACAACAACAACAACAAAATCACAAAGTAGTCTGTCTATTAGAAAGTAGTAGTTAAGAGATGGGTGACAATGTTGTCAGACACTTTGTACTTATATACGGTTTTGTAGAATGGGAACTTCTTTGTACAACTACTTAAAAGATAACAAAAAAATTAAATTTAAATTAGTAGCAAAATTATTTCATATTAATTAAATGAATTTCAAGCTGATACAATTTAAGAACCATTTAAGAGTCAAAGCATAAAAGAGAGCTAAAAACTTACTGAATTATCTCAGAAATTTTGGGAAATTCCCAAATTAGTAATGTGAGTAACGTAACACTATCTCAAAAACCATGTTCCTCAAAGAGCTTTTATTAGTAGTAGTTGGACCTGGGCACTGTATCACAATGAAAAACCAAAAGCATAAAAGAAAGCTAAAACCTTGGCCGGGCGCCGGTGGCTCATACCTGTAATCCTAGCTACTCAGGAGGCTGAGATCTGAGGATCGTGGTTCAAAACCAGCCCCAGCAGGCAAGTCCATGAGACTCTTATCTCCAATAAAATTCTAGAAAACCAGAAGTGGTGCCATGGCTCAAGTGGTAGTAGAGTGCTCACCTTGAACTGAAGAGCACAGGGATAGCGCCCAAGCCCAGAGTTCAAGCCCCATGACCGACCAAAAAAAAAAAAAAAAAAAAAGAAAGCTAAAGACTTACTGAATTACTTCAGCAATTTGGGAAAATTTCCTAAATTAGTAATGTGAGTAAAAAAAAGCCACACGACCGACAAAAAAAAATAATAATAAAAAAGTAATGTGAGTAACTTAACACTGTCCTAAAAATCATGTTCCACAAAGAGCTTTTTTTTATAAGTAGTTGAACTCAAGACCTAGGCATTGTATCTCTTAGCTTTTTTGCTCAAGGCTGGTGCTCTACCACTGAGCCACAGCTCCACTTCTGACTTTCGGTAGTTAATTGGAGATCATAGACTTTTCGGCTCAAGCTGGTTTCAAACTGCAATCCTCAGATCTCAGCTTCCTGAGTAATTAGTATTACAGGTATGATCTACCCTTGTCTAAGTGAGTAAGGTTTTTTTAATTACTTAGAAACTAAAGCAACTTGTTTGATTTTGCGGTTGTGTTACAAATCACTGTAATTTATATGCTTCCGATTTACCACATAGTAAAACTAAAATTCGTTTTTAAATATTATTATTCGTTATGATTTATCCTACAGTAACTAAAATCAGGGGACTTGGCTAAGAAATCACATTTCTTCCACCTGTGTGCTCATAAAAAACTTAAGAATGAATTGTTTATAAGGTAGTAGCCCCAGTATTCACTTAATACTTAGTGGGTCATAACACTCACAGTCACACACACACACACACACACACTCAAAATATCAAATAAAGTTGTTGCAGTTTGTCATTTATGTCATCCTATATTAACAAATTTTTACCGCCTGTAGCATCTCCTTCCAGCTTGCGCTCAGTAGAATTCCTTCTCTTTTTTACGATGCCCCAGTCTAATCATTATTAGCTATAAACCTAGTCATCATGAATATACATCAACAACATAAACTCTAAGGAACCAAAACATTTCAGCCAGATTACATTTCTATAAATTGAAGATGGTATCTCAAAATTTTGTTTAAGAGTGACATAGCTATTGAACAAACCAGCAATTATTTGTCTTTTGGAAAGAAAAAAAAGTTCAAAGAGTACATACCTGAAGGATTCTGTACAAATGCTCCTGGATTTTGTGGATGAACTGGTAAAAACTGTTGTCCTTGGCCAAATGCTACTGGCTGAGCTACACCAGTCAGAACCTTTAAGATAAACCTTGATTTTAAGAATGTCTTTTCTATTAGTAAAATTTTTACATTATAATCACATTGAAACATTAATAGATGTCATAAGGCCTACTGTTAATTTCTAGATCTTCTACAAACAGGAATAATATCTTCTATTATCATTATAAGGAACTGAAAATGAGTTCAATATTCCTTGAAAAATTTAAGGTACCATGGAAATATAACACAACTAACAATGAAGTGTATGGCTTTATATAAGTCACTTTACTTTGGGATACATTTTTCTGTATTTAACAAATATAAGAACTGGTATCTAGTGGTGAAACCTATACATAATCATAGGAGCTAGTGACATAGTAATACACACTAATAATCCTAGCAGTAGAAGAGGTCTGAGTCAAGAGAATAAAGGATACAATCCAGCCAGGTTACACAGCAAGACTGTTTCAAAAAAAAAAACATAAAAGAAAATCTGCTTCTATTAGCAATTTGTCATCTAACTCAATGGCTCATTCTTCCTGTCCATCATTTTTTGATAAGTTATAATCAGAACAAATTAGACTGCAAAAGATATCAAGAAGAATGTTTTTAAAAAAGAAAAGAACCAGGGCTGGGAGTATGGCCTGGTCACAGATCACTTGACTAACATGCACAAGGCCCTCAACTTCCATCCCCAGCACTAAAATAAATAACCATTATAAAGTAGGTAGTATACTGGCCTATAAATACCATATTTGTAGTTTAGAAGGCAGGACTGCTACACAAGTGTTATATATTATAAGTGTCCATTTATGAGCTCTGTTTGGTGTCAATGTGAATTTTTGGTGATATTTACTATACATCTAATAAAAAATTTGCCAATTGTATATACTGTAGGAATAACACTAAGCCCCATTACAGGGCATATGTCAGTAACAGCATCTTAACTTTAAAATAATTTACTTTAAATCTAAGACAAATATTTTCTTCCTCAACTTATTGGACATAAACAGAATACTTTCAAAAATGTTCATAATATGCTTTCCAAAATTTTCTTATTTTCTATTTTCTTCTATATAAAGTCGCTACTATAATTTGTCTTCGTAAATGGTCAATAGTTAGAGATAATAAATTTAATGCAGAAGATTTAGAGCAAATAAACCAAAGCAGTCATTCGAATATCAACTGGACGAATCACAAATTGTAAAAACATCTCTTTAAAATTAGTTCAAATGCTGGGCACTGGTGGCTCATACCTATAATCCTAGCTGCTGAGGAGGCTGAGATCTGAGGGTCAATGTTTAAAACCAGCCCTGGCAGGAAAAGTCCATGAGAGTGTTATCTCCAGTTAACCACCAGAAAACTGGAAATAGAGCTATGGTTCAAAGTGGCTGAGTGCTAGTCTTGAGCAAGAAAGCTCAGGAACGGTGCCCAGTCCCTACCAGAGTTCAAACCCCATGACTGACAAAAAAAAAAAAAAATTCAATATATATTTTACAAAGTACTGAATATCAAAAAGCTGGGCATGTTAGCACATGCTTAAAATCCTAGCACTTGGAATACTGAAGCAGGAAGATCATGTGCTTCAGACCAGCTTGATCTACACAGCAATATCCAAGCCAGCCTGGAGTACACAGTGAGACCCTGACTCATAAAAAAACTAAAATAACAAAAACCAGCATACCAACAGTTATACATATATATATAGAGAGAGAGTATATCTGGAAGACAGCAAATATGCTGTGCTGAAATTAAATCAAGCAACTATACTTGATAGAGTGGTAGAAAGTTGGTGAAAATATAGAAAGAATTGAAGACTAGTAAAAGCATGGATGATTTCAAGGGTAAGGATGTTCTTGATCTAAGAATCTGGGTACCAGTGCTTTATGCCTTATAACCTGAGCTCTGCAGGAGGCTGAGATCTGAGGATCACAGTGCAAAGCCAGCCCAGGCAGGAACGTCTATGAATCTCTGATCTCTCCAATTAACCAGCAAAAAGTTAGAAGTGGAACTGTGGTTCAAGTAACACAGTGACAGCCTTGAGTGAAAAAGCCAAAGGCCAAGCCCAGACCCTGAGTTCAAGCCCCAGTACCAGAACCAAAAAAAAAAAAAAAAGAAAGTCTAAGAAATCATCTCCAGTGGTTATTTTCAACCATATCAAGCCTCAACAGTTATCCAATGAAGGAAAGGTCTACAACTTCAGTACTTAAAACTTTAAAAAAGCAAACCCCTCCCCCCCAAAAAGTATATCTGTAACCAACAGTAATGAGAGGAATAAAAAGAGGTGGAAAGAAGAGAAACTGAGATATTTCCCTGACTCTTGGATGAGTTAAAATTACTTTGGGATTTAAGCTGCTAGTATCATCCCCAAAGGACTGTCACACCAATTTCCTAGCACATGAGGTTCTGAATGAAGTACATAAAGAATCTCTTTCCTTTGAGAAGGGAGGCACAGAAATGTAAGAACCAAGAGTGAACAAATGCAACGACAAATATGACTAGACACTACATTGAAAATGAACTATACAACCTGTGAGTGGGGATGGGGGGGGGGGAACTGGGAGAATGCAAAGGAAGGAGTGACACTGTCCAAAAAGAAATGTTATATTACTCATTACCTGACTTATGTACCTTTAACTCCTGTATATCATCTTTATAAAAAACTTTCCTTATACAATAAATTATGACTTAAAACATTCAAAATAGCTAACTTATGTACACATCACATAATTTCAGAGAAATGGTAAGACTTACCTGTTGAGGTCCTTGAATATTTCCTACTGATATTGGAGCAGGTAAATTACCAAAGTTTCCAAACTGAGAACTCTGAAGATTCTTTTCATCAAAATAGTGTCCAGAAGCTCTGTTAAGGGGATTTGAGAAACTCTGGTTTCCAGGGCCATGTGGTCCATTAAAGTTTGGTCCTTGGGGTGAGTCAAATATTTGTTCATGTCTCTGGAACTGTAGTCCTTGGGATGGAGCATTAAAAGAACTGCCAGGTGGATCATTATATGGGCCAGTCTGATTGAAAGATTCAAGCCTTTGTGAAGGATGATTGTCAAATCGTGTGCCTTGTAGACCAAGAGGAATATCAAACCTTGATGCCTGCTGGTGTTGTGGACCATCAAATCTTTGAGGTACACCATCAAATCTTGGTTGAACCTGCTGTCCAGGTGGTCCATCAAACCTCTGTGGGCCTGGCTGACCAGGAGTTCTTTCAAATCTAGGACCTGGCTGACCATGCAATCCATCAAATCTTGGCAAAAGTGATGGTTGACCTGGCTGCCCATCAAACCTTAAAGCATGACAACCTTCAAATCTTGGACCACCTTGACCCAGAGGCCCTTCAATTCTCAGGCCACCTCCTGGTACAGGACCCTCAAACCTCATGCCACCTCCTTGTTGAACTAAAGGCCCTTCAAATCTGATCCCAACCCCTGGTTGACCATGTGGACCCTCAAACCTAAGGTTGCCACCAAGCTGATTATGTTGTCCTTCAAATCTCAGGCCAGCTACAGACTGGCCATGGGGGCCCTCAAACCTCATTCCAACTCCTTGCTGTAACAAAGGACCCTCAAATCTGATCCCACTTCCTGGCTGACCATGAGGTCCATCAAACCTCATCGAAGCCCCTGATGGGCCATGACCCCCTTCAAATCTAAGTCCACCTACAGGCTGACCTCGTGGATTATCAAATCTAAGACCACCCACGGGCTGACCATGAGGTCCCTCAAACCTGAGACCACCCACAGGTTGACCACGATGACCTTCAAACCTGAGACCACCCACAGGCTGACCCCCTGGTCCTTCAAATCGCAAACCACCTGCAGATCCCTCAAACCTCAGACCAGGGGATCCTTCAAACCGAAAACCACCTCCTCCTGCTTGACCAATTGGCCCTTCAAATCGCAGAGGTGTCCCTACTGGTCCTGGAGGCCCCTCAAATCTCAAAGGACACCCACCTCCTATCTGACCTTGTGGTCCTTCAAATCTCAAAGGGCCTCCTCCCCCCATTTGTCCTGGTGACCCATCAAACCGAAGAGAACCTGGTGTAGGAGGTCCATCAACTCTAGGGCTTAATTTATTAGGTCCTTCAAAAATCATCTTGGTTGGGCCATCTCTTGTTACTGATGGCCTACTAGGTCCATCAAATAATGGTCTGTCTTCAGCTAAAGCTGTAAGTCGCTGATTTGTATCAAGGCCAGCAAATCTTGATGCTGGGCTGTCTACAAATGGTTTATCTGAATCTTCATATCTAGGTCGTTTAAGTGGGAAACGATCATTGAATGGCGATCTCTGCTCTTCTCGAACACCTTTTAAAAAGAAAAAAATATTTTCAATAAATTTGAGTTTATATCAAATTCCTTAAGTCTTTCTATGTGCATATACATATTTATATAAACTATCTCACTGTATTAGAGGGTTGGCAAGAGAGACTATTAAAACAGTAGATGATAATAGGATGCCCTCTAGATTCAGACACACCTGGGGTTAAAAAAAAAATTCCCCCATTCTGTCAAGATACTTGTATCTGACTTTGAGAGCAAGTTACTTAACCTCTCCAGTTCTGATTCCTATCTTTAAAGCAGGGATATTTCATTAGGTTATTGTGAGGATTAAATCAAATTACATATAAAAAGGACCTAGTCCCTAACAGGCCTTGTAAAAAGCTCTCTTCACTTTCCACATGGGAAAAACTACAAAACAAACAAGCAAATAAAAAGAAGGTAGTCTGAACAATAAAATCCATCCCCACTTAGCTTCTTCATTTCCCTTCACTGCTGTGATTCAATAGGCATAATCTGATTTAACTTTTTCTACCTTTAGCAGAGACTTGCTCGTCATGTCTTCTCCGGCCCTCATGGGGTGAAAGATTCTCAGCATAAGAACGACTCCCAGATATAGGAGAAAGACGTCTTGCTCTTTCACTAAATTGTTCTTTTCTGTCAAACTGTGCTCCACTATTCCTATTTGCATGTTTACTTTTGGATGGCTCACATTCTATTCCAGACAACAAGGCATCAGTCAAAGGGTAGTCAAAAATATCAGGATCTAAAAGATCAAGTCTTGGAAATGAATGCTGAACCTGTGTCCTTTTCAGTTTTGCTTTATGTTCATAGTAGGTTAATTCAGCATCAGATAAGAGAGGTTTCTTTTTTAATCCACCTTTATTTTCTTCTGTAGGACTATCCCGTACACTGCATCTATGTTTACCTTCTTGATACTGAAATAGTTGTCGAATTTGATGCACAACAACAAGGAACTCATCCTGTGTAATTTCACCAGATGCTAAACGTTCACTCGTCTGCAGAGGGGGATAAAAAGAAATTATGCATTTTAAATATTAAAAATATACTTACAAAAAAATTAGGCAAAAGAGAATGAATGACATGAGATTAATCATAATTACCTTTTGAATTAACTCTCTCTTGCTTGCAAGAGTTAACTCCTTAGGAATCTGAAGATTGGCATCTACACTTAATCGATGCTGCTGCTTTGGAGCTCGAGGTGACAAAATTCCTTTAGTGCTTGACCAGCTCTCCCTATGCCTTAAATGAGGAGATTTGTTATGTTCATCACCTTGCTGTAAGCTGAAACCATAAAAGCTGTATGTTACTTCAAGTGTTTCTTTGTTGTTTTTTTTTAATACTAAGAACTTCATTTAAGGTTCCTTTTCAAAGGACCTAGTTACAATACATAACAGCAAGTTCCAAAAGCAATATAGACTACATGAAAAAACAAGAAAAAAAAGAATTCGGAGGGGAGAGGGGGAATGGAAAGGGATGGTAAGGGGAAAGAGGAGGAGACAACAATGCTTGATAAGAAATGCACTCATTACATTTTGCCCATGTAATTATAACTGTCTGTACAGTATTTTCACAATAAAAAAAAAAAAAGAATTCTGATTCTACTAGGTGCCGGTGGCTCACACACCTAGAATCATAGCTACTAAGGAAGCTAAGATCTGAGGATCACAGTCTAAAGCCAGCCAAGGTAGGAAAAGTCCATGAAACTATTTAATCTAATCAACCACCAAAAAGCTGGAAGTGGAACTCTGGTTCAAGTGGTGGAGAGCTAGTCTTGAGTACAAAAGCTCAGGAACAGCACCTAGGCCCTGAGTTTTAAGACCCAGGACCAGCACACTCACATACACTCTGTCTCTCAGAAATACACACACATACATACATACACAAAAGAATTCTGATTTCCTGGATTCATCTTCCTTAAGATGACACGTTCCTAAACTTCAGTTTCTTTCTTCATAATAGGAATGACAGTAATCTTTAACCTTCAGGGATTTATGAATTAAATGGTACCAGGTGCCAGTGATTCACGCCTGTAATCCTAGCTAGTCAGAAAGCTGAGATCTGAGGACTGGGGTTCAAAGCCAGGCAGGAAAAGCCAGTTATTTCCCAAATAACCACAAAAAACTGGAAGAAGAGCTGTGGCTCAGGTGGTAGAACACTAGCCTTGAGCAACATAGCTCAGGAACAGCATTCAGACCCTGAGTTCAAGCCCCATGACCAGCACAAAAATTAGAAAAACAATGGAAAGATAAATTACTGTGACATTCAACATTTTCTAACTTTTAACACTACCTTTCAATATTACATAATTATAATATTAAAATCATACCTTTTATTTTCTTCCCAACCAGACTTCCACCTCTTAGCAGACTTGGAACTTGGCCAATTTTCTAAATTTTCCTTTGGTTCATTGCCTGACTTCATAGAATGTTGATTTGCAGTTTCCTGTGGTCTTTCTTCTTCAGTCTTTTTCATTCTCCTTGGATCTCGAATATCCTGTTTAGTGCTTCTCTTAGCATTTCTTTCTTCCCTGGATGGTGGCGTAAACTCTTCCATATGTGACTGCTTAGCTCCTGATTGGCGGATCTTTCCAGCTTTGGGTGTCGAACTTGGAGACATACTTCTCTGCCTTCGTTTGGGCGACCTCCTATCTCTTCTTTTGGGGGAATGTATAATTGGTGATCGAGACTTGGGTGATCGAGATCTTGATCGTTTTCTTGTACTTGATCTCCCTGGTTTTGTCCCCTGTTTTTCCAATTCTTCTATGACTGTGTCCTGTTTTTGTACAATGCCATTTATAATTTTACTTCTACTTCCAATTAGTCTATGTTCAGATGATTTCATGTGCTCATCTTTATCTTTTTTTTCTGCCGTTTTTCTCTTTTCTTTAACATCATCATCTTTGCTATCAGTCTTATCCTGAAGATGTTTTTTTAATCTTGGATCTCTCTTGTTCACATCAGATAACCTTGCACTTTCAGATTCTTGATTTTTCAAGTCTTTTGTGTGAGATACTTTGTTTTTCAAAGGTGATGGTGACTTTGATTTTGATTTTGATTTTGAATCTAATTGGTCAAGTTCTTTCTTAGTTATTTTTTCACCTGATTTACTTTTTTCTTGCTTAGATGAATTAAGTTTTTCAGAGGATACAGTTTTACTTGTCTTAGTATCAGATTGGTTCAACGTATTTATTAGAAAGTCTTTCCTGTGACTCTGATCTTTACCATGAGAAGAATGTTGGCTCATCCTGTTAAGTCGAGGATCCCTGTTAGTTCCTTTCAAATCCTGAATTTGTAAGGATGGACCTGGACGGCTTTTCTCAGGTTGAACAGGAACCTGATGGGGAGGAGCTTTAACTGCCATAGGGGGAATTTGAGAAACATGTAATTTAGATGGTGTTGATCCAGGACCCAAGTTAGCTGTCTCCTGCTGAACACTAAGAGAAACTGCCTGAAATACAAAATATATGTTCATATTAATACTATAAATTATATAGTTATTATTTCAATTCCTTGACATTATATAAAGAAAACAGCGTTTTCAGTAATACTTCCTCAATAGTGTATTTATCGTATATACATTTCTAATGTGCAAGTATAATGAAAAGAAAATCCAGGGCTGGGAAGGTAGCTCAGTGGTAGAGCGCTTGCCTTGCATACATGAGGCCCTGGGTTCGATTCCTCAGCACCACATAAGCAAAAAAAAAAAAAAAGCCAGAAGTGGCACTGTGGCCTTAGCTGAAGAGCTGAGAGACAGCACCCAGGCCCAGAGTTCAGGCCCCATGACCAGTCACCCCCACCCCCCCAAAAAAAAGAAAAGAAAATCCATGTACCTAACTGGTCTGTTACTTCCATTATAGAATGGGGAAAGTCTGCTTCTTCCTTTTTTGGGTTTTTTTTTTTTTGTGGGGGGGTCCGGTCGTGGGGCCTGAACTCTGGGCCTGGGTGCTGTCCCTCAGCTCTTCAGCTAGCGCTCTACCATCTGAGGCACAGTGCCACTTCCGGCTTTTTTCTTTTTGATTATGTGGTTCTGAGGAATTGAACCCAGGGCCTCGTGCATGCAAGGCAAGTGCTCTACCACTGAGCCACCTTCCCAGCCCCAGTCTGCTTCTTCCTTTCAATTTTCTACACCAGATTATACCTAAGAAACTGCTCAACACTATACTCCAGTTGCACTGCACAGTTATTCCAGTTAAATTCAATGTTATGAGATTTCATTTTCTCCAGTGTCATTACTTATGAACTCAAAAAATTCTTTCTGGGGCTGGGAAGGTGGCTCAGTGGTAGAGCGCTTGCCTTGCATGCATGAGGCCCTGGGTTCGATTCCTCAGCACCACATAAGCAAAAAGAAAAAAGCTGGAAGTGGCGTTGTGGCTCAAGTGGTAGAGTGCTAGCCTTGAGCTGAAGAGCTGAGGGACAGCACCCAGGCCCAGAGTTCAGGCCCCAAGACTGACCCAAAAAAAAAAAATTCTTTCTGAAGCTGAGCACCAGTAGCTCACACCTGTACTCCTAGCTACTCAGGAGGCAGAGATCAGAAGATCATAGTTTGCAACCAACCCATACAGGAAAATCCATGAAGTAGAATTGTGGCTCAAGTGGTAGAGTGGTAGAGTGCTTGAGCAAAAAAAAAAAAAAACCAAAACTCTGGGACAGTGACCAGACCCTGAGTTCAAGCCCTAGTAAGGGGGTGGGGAAATCTAATAATATCAATGATAAAGAAAGAACTTATTACAAAGTCATCCATGCATAAAAACACACACTTTTCTGAATGTTTAATGTTTAACTAACTTTGTAGAATTCTAGGAACTTTGTTCTTAAAGCTCATAAAACATTAACTATTATGCAACAACATTCCCAACACACCTACCATCTTAGAACTGAAATATTAAGTCCACATTAATGTAATAGGTCAAACTAAGGTGTTGTGAGGCACCAGTGGATCACACCTGTAATGCTAACTATTCAAGATGCTGAGATCTGAGGGTGGTGACTCACAGCCAGCCCAGGCAGAAAAAAAGCCATGAGGTTCATCTCCAATTAGCCACCAAAAAGCTGTAAGTAGAGCTGTGACTAAAATGGTAGCTTTGAGCACAAAAGCTCAGGCATCACACCCAAGCCCTGAATTTAAATCCCATTGCTGGCACAAAAACTAATACCCAAACAACAACAAAAAACCAAGGTGCTACACCAGATTATACCTAAGAAACTGCTCAACACTATACTCCAGTTGCACTGCACAGTTATTCCAGTTAAATTCAATGTTATGAGATTTCATTTTCTCCAGTGTCATTACTTATAAACTCAAAAAGTGCTACCCTGTAACATAACAGAAAACTATTTTCTTGAAAATGAAGGTTAGACGTGTGTGTGTGTGTGTGTGTGTGTGTAGACTAATACAGCATAATTTGCGATGGAAAAGACACTATCAATAAAATGTTACAACTCAAACACAATTGCTTTCCTACTGTTATACCATTAAAATACTTAAAATAACCAAGTTTTCCCTACTTACCAGTTGTGCCTTAGCTTGCTCTAACTCAAGCTCCAGCTTTTTCTGCTGAAGTTCTAACAATTGTTTTTGTTTTGCCAGTAACTGCTGCCTTATTAGTTGTTCTTGGGTAAGATTCTTTTGTATATCAGGAACAATCGGAGGAGTAGAGATGCTGGGAGAACTGACCACTGTGCCAGGTGTTGAAGGCTCCTCAGGCTGTAAGAAAAAATAACTTCTTAAGAAAAATATAGCTTAAAAACAAGCTAAGAGTTAACTAAAAATAATCAAGAATTATCAGTAATTATTAATAGCCAATCATGCTTAAACACAGGTAAACTTTTCCCAAATTTAAAACCATCAATGTTATACAAGTAAACAGGGTCTATGTTATTTCCATTACTTTTCCAAATTGAACTGACCTAGCACTGAGTTTTCTGTTTTTGCTTTCTGGAAAGAACACTTACAGAAGTTAGCATCTGATCAAGTACTAGTATTTACCATTCATGTTGAAAACTTACCGATTTATTTAAAAACTTGGGATTCACATGGATGCTAGATGTGTTCACATTGGGGGGTAGAGGTTTAATAGGCCAAGCAGGATCTAATGAATTGACTCTGACATCCAGGGCATAAAGTTTCTTCAAAGGGAATATCTCATCCCATGTGGAACGTAATTTAAATAAACTTTTTCTAGTATTTTCATCCACCTAGAAGAACAGAACAATTCTATGGCTTGTTAAGTTACTATAGAATGTTTTATATATTAAATATAAAGTTAGGCAAATCTGTTCTACTTCACATACAGAACTATACTGCTCACTTGTAAACATATATCACAGTAATAATTTATAAAATGTACATGAGTACATGTATTTATTCTTTAAAAATTTAGTTATTACCTAGTACTCATGAAAAAAATACCCAGGCAAGACTATTTTTAAAAGTATAAAATGTCTCCACATTTTAGGGCTTGATATATTAATGCTAGTAGTACTCTGTTATATATAACTAGAAGATAGTTTACCTGATAGCTAAACCTATTTACTTAGTAGTAACCAAGTTAAAGACAAATCTGTCTTGCATTTATTACAAATCTGTAATGCAATTGTAAGTCCCTATGAAAAGCTGTGATATGAAAAAGCACAAAATCTTAATCACTTATGGGCTTTATATAACTTAACTATTCTCATTTGTACTGCCCTAACAATTTTTAAAAACTACCCATCAGAGTAACCTAGCACTTAGGAACACAATTAGGTTTTTAACTTTAGGGTTTAACTATACTCTTAGAGTAAATTTACTATAAGGTCATTTTACCAACTATATTGTAAAACCCAAGTTAAATCCAGTAAAATCTAACAAGCAATTTAACCATACTGAAACTGAAACTTGATGGTTGGTTAAGCCCTCCCCCCGCCAAAATTAGTGAGGTTAGCTTCTTTTTAGATTAAGCCTCAGGTAAACAGTACTTGGCAAATATCGACAAAGAAACTATTGCCATTTTTAGTACTTCAATAGTTTTCCAAATTTCTTCTAAATATACTGTAAGTAAAACCTAGTATTTTTTAAAGCTTCCAATTCTAAAAAAAAAAAAATCTAACAAGTTGTCCAGTACATCTTAAAAAATGTAAAACTACCTACAAATTATCAATGTTAGTTAGGCAACAATTCATAATCATGTCCTAAGTACATGAAAGAAAGTTTAACTAGCAGAGTACCAAATCCATCCCTTTCAACTTAATACTGTATTACCAAAACTACAAGATACAATGTTACAATACAATCTCTAGGTATGGAAAATAGCAACCTTTTCTTCTAAGCACTAATGCAAAATTTCAAAATTAACCTAAAGCTAATAAAGTGGCCCCACCATTCACACATATCTACAACATTCACATAAAACATACTTTGAACCATGTAACAAGAAATGTTTCTCTTAAAAAGGGGGAAGGTGGTGTTTTAGGTATGAAGCACAGATTGACATAAATCTGTGCTTTTTGACACTAATACTAGAAATTTAAATAAACTTTAAAGTACACAAGAAGTTTTATTTTTACCCATATTGGAGATAAAACATCCTCAATAAAAATAACAATGCATAATTTTTTGAAAATGAACAATTCAAGTGAATAAAAGCACAGTATAGTAAACATATAAAACTCTAGGATGTGTCTTAAGGATTTAACAAAATATTAGCAGTAGCCACTTTCCTTGAAAAGGTACTTGGTTAAAGTGTCCAAATGAAAAAACATTTTACCACCCAAGAAAACCCAACACAAGGCAAAATTTATTTAATCAGGAACACATTTCTTTAAAAAAAATTCTAAATGTATATATACCTTTTCAAAAACACAAATAAATGTTGCAACAAGATTTTTAGTAAAGGCAGTGAGATACTCTCTTCCAACATTTTTCACGATAGAATCCATAAGGTACATAACAGGAAGCTTCTCTGAGGAAGGAGCCTGAAGTAATAAAAAGAAACTGAGAAGTTTAGTATAATGAATTGCCACCAAATAATTATTTTTAAAGTGAGTTTTTAAGCCTACAATACAGACCTCTTTTTGTTGGCACTAAATACTTTTGAATTGATCTATTAATGTTTATGAAACTTAAGTGTTCCATCAAGTTCTCATCTCTTACAATAATCTTTAGTTAGGCACACAACAGTTTAGAATTATCAGGAGGAAAACAAACCGTAAGCCCTAGTACTCATCTACCACTGAAGATTTCAGGCACATGTGGCTGTTTAAAAAAAAAACAAACAAAAACCTGTGTTTTAACTATAAAAGGGGAGGAACAATTATTTTCCCAAGTATCAGCTTTGGGACCCACTTTATCAGTGTGCCTAAATCAATGAAGTAGAAACCCTAGTTTCTAAAGTGTGTTTGTATGTTTAAGTCTGTGAAGCTTTGTTACCTGTAAAATTAGGATCACTTCTCTATAACCCCAATGAATAAAGTAATTATAAACACACTTCACATCTGATGTCAATGGCAAGACACTTAAAATACTTGCACATGAACATGAAGGAAGGTGCAAGTTTGTCACTGATACAAGAAAAACTGGATGGAGCAGCCGCTGAATCATGTAAATCAGGTTGAACTTGACTCTGGAAACCTGGATGTCCTGAAGATTTTCTTCACAGCATGAATTCTCCGACGATTATTTTTCCTCTGGCATGCACAAACAAACCAGAGGTTCTAAATTTGTGCTGATGCTGATAAAAGTAGCCCTTTCCAATGTAATATTGCCCCAAGTTCAACTGCAATGCCTACCCACAACTGGCTTCTAGGATGCACACCAAGCTTCCAGAAAGCATCAGCAGGTTCACAGACTTCAGGAGAATTAAGACATACCACATAAACTAACTACACAGGAGCACCCATGACTTAAAAACAAAAACAAAAAAAAAGGTAACAGGTTATCCCACTTACCCACCCCACGACGATGTGTATAGAAATCTAAACCCTGAACACACCCATAACTTGTAGCTAGGGCAGGCCCACAGTTCTGGCAAACACAATGCCATCAGATTTCACAAAACCAATTGCCCATACAAGTGTGTGGAAATGCTCTTGCTTCTTTCTGTAACACCCTTTACAAGTGACTAAAGAAACCTTTGAAAAACCTTGTATGAAGAGTTTCTTTTAAAGTGCTATCTTAAAAAAAAAGGAGGGGGGGGGGTTCCACAAGGCCACTGCATGTGGGTAAACTAGTGCCAACATGTCAAACATCGTATTGCTGAGACTTTACCATGTCTTGTTTTATACCATTTAAGCAATTGAGGATTAACAGGCTCTCTCTTAACACCATAATCTGTCCAACAGATTAATCTTTTATTGCATAGGTGAAGTACTTCTATGTTATACTTTCAGTACTGCTACCTTATGGGATGATTCTAATTAGGTGTGAATCCTTAAATTCAGCAATGCCTGAGATGCTAAATAAGGACACAAACAACCCTCAGAAACACAAAACCAAGCCAGATTGCTAACCAAATGACAGAAGACCCTCCCACCCCTCACCCTCAACTCCAACCCAGATTAAGATAGTCCCACAAAGTCTGGCTTTACAAAAAAACAAACAAAAAAACCAGGAAGCATGTGCCTCCAAAATTTCAGCTGTCTTTTGCCAGCAAACAGTCCATCTAGTTTCACCACTCTGTGTAGTGAATACACAAATACAAGTTTTATGTGGTCACTGTATCCAGCATTTAGTTTTCGATTCTGGAAGGTCTTCTGGATCCACTAAAAACCAGTAAAGGAAGCTGTTCTTGGAGTGATAATCTATGCTGCTAAACATTTGGTGCTGTGGAATATTAACCCAAAATATATCGAAGTAATTCGATTTTTTAAATGTTATTTTGTTAAAAATGCAAGTGTGCTTTTTCAAAAGGCATTTAATGTCCTATTAAGCTTTTAACAAGGCAAAAACAAAGTTTACATCCAACAAATATGTGATATTCACAAAAAGGATGTCGAGTATGAGGAACACGGCCTTCTTAAATCTCATACTTTAAAAAGAACAGCTGTTTCAGTCAACAGGAAAAGGTGAATGAAAACTTGTATTTTCAAAATGAAAACAGTACTCTTGTTGAGCCCTTTAAAAAGAAAAAAAACACTTTTTTTTCCTCTTAAGATATGATAGGACCACTTGAAACCGTGTATCTTGTGAACTGATTTACCCAAAACAGTGGATGGAACCTAAAGAAGAATGAACCCAAGTCACTTAAAGACTTTTGTTTACAACACACAACCACGTAGATAAAAATAAGTCTTGGAAACAACTTCTACACCTTACAAAGGTAAATAAAAAAGACAAATACATATTTTATATGTTTTATTCACAAATTTTATAATACCAGTCACACATTTCAAAACCATTTATTAGTCAGACCACTCAGTTTTACACTAGACAGAAACCGTCTCTAAACAATATATTGGTGGTTGTTGTTAAATAGTGGCCTTTTAAAAGGGGTTCACTCTGCTAAAAGGAGGCTCATCCTGATCATTGCAATCACTAACAACTAGAAAAAACTAAACCGCAAGTACAGCTCGAAAAATAACTTAAAACGTAGTACTGGGAATCTATTGAAACTTATAATGAAGTTTAACAGTAACTTTACTTAAATGACATATCGATCCCAAATGAATCCACAGAAGAGGAAGAACTACAGGGAAATAAATGAAAGGTGGCAGAGGGCCACTTCTGTCAAAGGGTAAAGGAAAAGCACGCCTTCACTATCAGGGAAGGGAGGAAAAAAATAAGAGAAAAGGAAGAGGCGGAGGGACTCAACTTTTTAGAGAAACTACGAAGGCTAAGTTACCCTCTGGGCCGGATCTCCACCTACAGGTTGGATAAGATCTCTTTCCCCCCACCACCACCCAAACCCCACCCTTGACCCAGCTTCCCCTATTTGGGGGCAAATTAGACCCTCCGATGAGAGAGTCAAAGTTTGATTATAGCCGCCCCCACCCCAAAATGGGGCTGACGGGTGTGAGCAGCTGCCTGGCTGGCAGGGAATGGATTCTCCTCTCTTCCCTTTCGCATCATGTGCTTTTCAGGCGCCATGTTGGGCTCCTAACAGGCCGCTGCTCCACTCCGGGAGGGGAGGGGGGGGGAGCCGATTCTCTACACCCGCCCACCAGCAGCTCTCTCCCAGGTCCCCCTTCACCTCCTTCCAACCCTCAGAGCACAAATACCCCAAAAAGGGTACTGGAGAAAAACGGGGTAACCACTCCCCACCTTCCCACGGGCTCAAAACGGTTTGAACTCTTTAACTCCCCCCTCTCGAGAAAATAAATAAATAAAACTCGGAACTGCCTTTTAAGTTCTCGTCTCCCCCTCCAGCCCACCCCGAGGGGCTCTGTTCAAAAGAGTGTTTGGAGTGTGGGGACGTACAATGCGGTGGCCTAAATAAGGAGTTGGTGAGCGGAAATGGGGCTCCACCCTTTATCCTCCCCACTCCCCCCCTCCCCCGAGGCCCACGCTCGAAGCCTGGGCCAAAGACCGAGCCTGAGTGGGGGGGGAGGGGGGGGTTGGAGAGGAGGAACACCGTCCCCCTCGGGATGGAAGCGAGACCTGGGATGAGGCTGACACTAAGATCAGGGGGGAGGGGGGTATTAGAAGAATAGGAGGCTGCGGGGTGTATAAAAACCTTGGCGGTTTGGGCCTCGATGAGAGAGACGATCTCCTTGGCGAAGGGCAGGTTCTCCTCGGCTAGAATGGTCAGCATATTGATGTGCGGTTTGCTATTGAAGGTCAGGTCTTCGAGCGATGACTGATAATCCCGACAGGCGTCCTCCCGGGCCCCAGCAGCCCCGGCCTCGGCCGGCGTCTGCTCTGACATTGCGCCGCGGCCCCCCTCCGAGGTCCGCCGCAGCTGAAGCTGAAGCCGCTCTCGACACCCCGCCTCCCTTCCGACTCCTCTTCCTCTCTCCCCGGGCCTCTCACGGCTCCGGCTTCACCACATGCTGACCGCGGAGGGGGGGGTGGGGGACGACACCAGGGGAACCTCGGGGATGAAGCGCCGCCGTCTCACGGGTGATCTCTGTCCGCTTCCAGCCGCCAAAGAAGCTTCTTTCTCCACAGACACAAAATGGCGGCGGCAGTGGCGGCTCCAGCTCCGAAAATGTCTGTGTTCCCAACCGCTGCGTCGTGCGAAATGAACTAGGGGAGGGGAGATGTGCGGTAAAAGGGCGGGGCCGTTGGTGAAACCAAGCGCGATTGGCTGAGCCGGCTGCGTCACAGGCCCCGCCCCCGCCCCTTCCGCAGGACGTCCTGGCACCGCCTTCTTTCCGGCCCCAACCAGGGCTTTCGCAATGCCGACGGCTCGGAGGCGCGGCGCAAAAGAGGACGCTTCTCATTGGCCGGTTCATAAGGGACTGTTCCGTCATTTGTTACCATAACAACCCAATCGGGAAAACCAATAAGGTTGGGAAAAGGCTGTCTAAGGACCAACCCAACCAGTTTTAAGAAAGCTCCACGGTCTACCTTACACCCCTCCCTCTGCAGTCTCCCAGCCACTGAGCGGCTCCGTCAATCATCCTGCCTCCCGCCTTCCCAGACAGCGGCGCCCGGGCGAAGGGGAGAGGGGCGGGGGGAAGTACGGGCTGGGACGGCGGGGAAGGGAAAGCCGGGAGGGGGGGGGGAACCGTATGGGGGGGCTCGGGAAGAGATGTGAGGAGAGGGAAGGAGAGAGGGGCGGGAGCATCCCGGCCGGGGCGGGGAAAGGGACGCGGACCGAGGGGGCGGGGTGGTGGGGCGTGCGGGCCCTGGCTGGGAGAGGAACGGGGGGCCGAGGGGCGGGGAGCGCGCGGGCCCGGGCGGAGGGGAGAGGGGCGGGGCAGCCGAGGCTCGGGGTCCCCCGCACCCGCCTCGTCCCCGTCTCAGGTGTTCCCGCGAGTCTGGGCGGCACAGCCCCCCTCCAACTCCACCCCGCCGCGCCCCTGGGAACTGACACGCGGGGAGGAGGGAGGGTGGCGTCCCATTTACCGGGAACCCGGGGAAGTCACTGCGGAGGGCGGCCTCCTCCACGCCGCTTCCCGCACCCACCCACACCTTGGCCGGCTCCAGGGAGTCGAGTCCCCCGAGAAAAATCCCCTTTATTTAGAGGAGCCTGAAAGGTTTTTCCTAGGCGGCTGGAGGTCTTTGGGGGAGCCCGCTCGGGTCTCTAGGAAGGGCATCTCACGGCAGCCACACCCAGCTCCCTTCCACTATTTAGGACACGAGGGAAAAGAATGCAGGTGTGTATGAATATCTGAGACTCGGTTCTTGGGTTTCTAGATTGTAGAGAGACTCTGGGAATTAGGTTCTTAAAATACAGAATATTCAGTTCTGTGTTGCTGGGCACAATACAATATGTAAATTTTTCACTAGCGATAGTAACAAATATAAGCGTAAAGGAGTATTCATTACATAAATCTTTTTCACCGTGGCCCTGATAGACCACTGGGCTCTAAGGGAGAATTAGTTGTTCTCCGAAAGAATTTGTTCTTTCGTTTCTCCTTTTGTTTGCTTTCAGCAGCTTGGTTGAGGTGTAACTAGGATGTCATCAATTACACATAATGGGTACAGCAGGGCTAAGTTTTTCATTTGTTCTTAGCATGGCAAGACACAAATGGAAAGTAAAACCTAAGGAAGAAAGCGTGTCTTCAAATTTAAAGCTAGGTATTCAAGACCTCAATAACCACATCCAAGTTAAAAGTTTGGAAGTTGCTGTATTCTGGAAGGAAATGGACAGGGTAGAACAGTTCTCTGAAAGGTTTGTTTTGTAATTTTAAAGGCAAATTTAGTTATCAAACTTAGAACTATAGGCAATACTTTCCATTGTTTACGTACCCTTTGAACAATATGAACGTCTAAAATCAAGACATTTCCAAAGCTCTGATTTGTCTTCTCCTGCATCCCTCCCAGACTATACTCAATTTATAGTTTATCACATAAATTAGCAAACCTACATACCCACAAGGCAACTGGAAAACACAAGTGACTAGCAAGCAAAAATCTTGTGCTATATGGCAATATTTTTTTTCCTTTACTAGGGACAACAAAAAAATCAGTATTTTTTAGTTTACACTTTCATGCATGAAAGATCTCCCAGGGGTTTTCTGTGCCAATTATTTCAACAGAATATGCAATTGATTCCTTTTCAAACAATATCAAGCCTCAGGTATCTGCCTGTCAACCTTGCTAGGTGCGGTAGTGAACAACAATAACTCCTTGGCCTGCTTATGTGAAAATATAATCTCATGGAATAAAATGATTGTCTCAGAGATAATTTTCAATTATCAAAACGGCTGATTATCGCATTTTTCTAGACTATGAAAACACTGGTTTTGAACAAAACATGTTCTTCCTTTGTTTCCAAGAATGAATTCCACCATTAACATTGGTTACATAGTTTAACATGTATACTTCTAGGCCTTTTTCAATGAATGTATAAACAATATGGACTGCTTTTTTTTGTTTTATTAAAAAATGGGATAAATACAGAAATATATAGTCCATAACTTTTTTTTGAGGGGGGGTAGGTCATGGGGCCTGCACTCTGGGCCTGGGCACTGTCCCTCAGCTCTTCAGCTCTACCACTTGAGCCACAGCACCACTTCTGGCTTTTTTCTTTTTGCTTATGTGGTGCTGAGGAATCAAATCCAGGGCCTCAGGCAGGCAAGGCAAGCGCTCTACCACTGAGCCACCTTCCCAGCCCCCCATAACTTTTAAGTAAAAAATATCATAGCTTTATTTTCGTGTACCTGAATGTTCTTTGATGAACATCCTTAAGGCTACATATAATTTAAAGCATTTTTATGCATTTGTTTTTAACATTTGTGATATATTAGGATAGCTGACAAGAATTAAGTTCTTTTAGTGTTAGCTGTTAGTGTTAGCCAATAAATACTTCAAGAGTCCTTCTGCTTTCAATTTCATCTTGCTATATCTCACCAGTTCTAATAGGCTAATGAAACTTTGGGAACATGGGGCAGTAGCTGGCTTAAAGGACTTGATGAGTTTAGGGATGGATTATCAGGGAGGAATCCTGGATGATCCACACATTCCAAAAACCAAATTAATAGTTATATGACTTTAGAATTATGTTTTGCCAACCACCTTTTGTTTGCAGGGAAAAAAACGATTTAATGGACAACATTTCTTATGTTTGCCTTCAAATATTTTTTACTTTCAAATATTTTAATTATTTGGCATTTCTTCCAAATACAGATTTTTTAAAGGCAAAGGAATAACTAGCAAATGAATAAACAAACTTTCCAAAGTATGATCTCATAACAAATAGCATAGAATAATGTATTTTTCCCTCATAGAAATAGAGAATAGAAAACTCAAACAAATGGAAAACTTCCAAAGTATGATTTTATATCAAACTATAATGTTATTTTCTACTATTTTCTGTGGAAAATGTTTGGAAAGAAGAGACTGAAAGAGACATTTTCTTGAGTAAAAGTTTCTGTTCATCTGTTCTTAAAACTGTCTCACACTCTCCCAGAGCTCAGTCTGTTGGGAGAGATAAGCAATTAAACTCACAATTGCTGTACAGTATGACAAGAGTCATGATAGCAGGATGGACTTGAAGCATTTAAATCAGACTGGAGGTGGTTAGGGATGACCTGCTGAAAAGTTGACTGCCAGTTTTGGAGTAATTAGGTAAAAGGAGAAGGGGAATTCCATTACCTCCCAAAAAATAGAGATCTAGATTTTGTTGGGAAGGAAAAATACATACAATATGGAAGAACTTTAAGAAACCAAACACAAAATTGAAAATACTAAATGATGTGGCTTATATAAATATGCAAATGATGTTGCACAGTGAATATGCAGCTTCAGAGACCTAATCAAACCAGGCATAGTGGCACCACTCAGAAGGTGGAGGTAGGAAGACACTAAGTTCAAGGCCAGCCTGGACTACAAAATCCTAACAACAACAAAAAAAAAAAGGACAGGGCACCAGTGGTTCAACACTGTAATCGGAGCTACTCAGGAAGCTGAAACCTAGAGGACAGTGGTTCAAAATCTGAGACTCCATCTTCAGTTAAGCAGAAAAATGCTGGACTGTTGGTGTGGCACAAGTGGTAGACTACTGTCACTATAAGCAAGAAAGTCAAGCAAGACAGGGAGGGAAGGGATAGTGGGAGAACAACAAATTTCTTGCCTGACAAGAAATGTGCTCATTACCTTACTCATGTAACTGTAACCCCTCTGTACAGCATCTTTACAATAATTTTTTAACAATAACGTAAGGCCCTGAGTTCAAGGCCCACAATAAAACAGCAATATACATACATACATACATATGTACATACATACATACATACATATGACCTATATTCAAAGATATTCAAAAAAAGATTGTTTCAAAACAGATCAAAAGATGTCTGTGGGAGCCAGGAGCTGCTGACTCTCCCTGGTAATCCTAGCTGTTCAGGTGGCTGCGAGTCAGAAGATCAAGGTTCAACATCAGCCTAGGCAGAAAATTTCTGAGACTTCATCTCCAGTTAACCAGAAAGAAAAGCAGCACTGGAGACATGGCTCTCATAGTTGAGCAAAAGCTAAGCCAGCATAAGGGCATGAGGCCCTAAATTCAATCCCTGGTATAAAAAAAAAAGATTTGAGAGCTGGGCTCTGGTGGCTCACACCTGTAATCCTAGCTACTCAGGAGGCTGAGATCTGAGGCTCCCAGTCAAAGCCAGCCAGGGTGGGAAAGTCCGTGAGACTCTTATCTCCAATAAACCACTCAGAAAACCGGAAGTGGAGCTGTGCTCAAGCGGTAGAGCACTAGCCTGGAGCTGAAGAGATGAAGGGCAGTGCCCAGGCCCAGAGTTCAAGCCCCACAACCAAAAACAACAGAAAAGATTTGAGTATATGAAAAAGTATGATCCATGATCCATTCATAGGTTACTTCTTTTGAGGTTTATAGTATGGAAAATAGGAATCAGTGGAAGAAGTTGTAAGATATATTAGCCATGTTTTATATTTTTAAAAAAGTACAAATTCTGGGGCTGGGAAGGTGGCTCAGTGGTAGAGTACTTGCCTTGCATGCCAGAGGCCCTGGGTTTGATTCCTCAGCACCACATAAGCAAAAAGAAAAAAGCCGGGAAGTGGCACTGTGGCTCAAGTGGTAGAGTGCTAGCCTTGAGCTGAAGAGGGACAGCACCCAGGCCCAGAGTTCAGGCCCCACGACCG